TTAATGCGCTAAAAAAGGCGTTTGTGTTAGGACTAGTATTAATATAATAGGACCTAGCTAGAGAAACGTTATTAGAAGTGGACTATTTAGGATGTGCTCTTGGGGGTTGCTTGTCGCAAAAAGTTAGGGGCGTCTGGCGCCTAGTTGCTTACTACTCTGTAGCACTAACGCTAAAGAGATAAAACTACACTATATATAATAAGGAATTGCTTGCTATTATAGAGTATCTTAAAAGTTAGTTAGTAGAGTTATAGAGCGTTTATAAGCTGTTCACAATATTCACGGACTATAAAAACTTAGAGTACTTTACTAGCCTTTAAAGCTTAAGCAAGCGATAGTGCTGCTAGGCAGAGGAACTTTCTAAATATTAGTACATCCTATAGTACAGGCCTGGCTGTCTTGTAGGACAACCTAATGCCTTAAGCAGATAACTACAAGATTTAAACTCCTCTAAAGCAACACTATAGTTAGTAATGCGCCCTAAATTAATTTAGGTTGCAGTGTTAGAAGCGGAGGAGGCGTCTAAGTTACTAAAGGGCGCTAGCCTCTTTGCTAACCTGCACATGCAGACACTATAGGACAAAGTGGTACTAGAAGATAAGATATACTAAGTACGTCTTAATACAGTTTAGAAAGGCGCTAGGTCTTTCCTAGTTTTAGCTAATATAAAGCAACAGATTAGGGACTGTGTGATTAGCGCACACGGCACTTTGCTCTAGAGGGGTGTTATTTAGTTGCTAATATAGGAACCCCTTACAACTACTATTATACAGCGAGCATATAAATTAGGTTTAGTAGGATATCTAGGAAAGAACACAATATTTTAAATACTGCGCCGCGACTATTATTAGGATAGAATATTAGGAGACGTTGCGTGGTATGTTTAAAACTGCTATTATTATAGTGCTTACATCTCCTAGAAGCGCTAATAGGGTCTATTGCAACCTATACTAGTCGCGTTACGATACTAGTCCTAAATATCCATAGATTTTATAGTTAACCTACCTGCGAAAGATAATAGCAAACCCTAGTCCCTGTTAGTTATTACTAACAGATTGTCTAAATATATTTAGCTTAAAGCAACAGTCTTTATAGTAGCTAATTATTGTGCAAGGATCTTCTAGGACAACTAGTAGTAGTTCTAGGGCTTCCTATCCTCTATTATTACTAACCAAGGTTTAGACTAGTTAGGATCCTTCTAGACAACGTTATACTAGATAATAAAGATAAACTAGTTACTGTCTACTGTATACCACCCTTAGATAGACGGCGGGACAGAGCGGGTAAACCAAGAAGTGCAGGTGGTGCTGCGTATAATAGTATGCTTTAAGCAGACTAACTAGCCTAACTACCTGCTAGCCTGCTAACTTGCACTTAATAATAGGGACTCTAGCACAACTAGTGTTAGCCTAAATCTACTTTTAAATAGGTATACTGCAGACACGCTACAAAAGTTAATGTTACTACTAGTAAAGCCTAAGAATCCTTGTAGGGAGGCTGTAGCGTTCTTGTTACACCTGTAGAGGGGTGTAGAGCTAGCGCAAGCTGCTATTGCGTTCTAACAGCAACAATAATAGGAAGCAATAAACTAGTCCTAACGCCTAGCTAAAAAGTTCCTAAAAGGCAATATAGTTTAGTTTGCAATACGCAATATAAAGATAAACTAACTAAGCAAAAAGTTTAACTAGCTATAGGTAAAGTACAAAGTAATAGAAGTTCCTACTCTACTTATAGTAGTATTAGACTTACTAGGGAGCTTGCATAAGACTGTGCATATGGATCTGCTAGAGAGAGCTGCTAATAACCTGCTGCTAAGCTAGAAGCTTTAGGACTTATAACTAGGTCTAACAGTTACTCTAGAAAATAAAGATGCAACGCTAGATAAATAGGAAGTAGAAGAGATCCTTTATGCAAAGAATGCAAGAGGAAAAGGGAAGTGTTAAGTCCTAGTAAAATAGAAGGGGTATGTTAATCTAATATAGCACCCGCTAGAGGTAGTGCAGGATACTAAGGCTCTAGATAGGTTTAAGGAATAGTATAGGGATGCTGCGCACAATAACAGCCTAATGTGTATAAAAACTAGGAAGTAAGGGTGAAAGGAAACTAGAATAATAACTTAGACCTTTGTTATAATTAAAAAGTAGAAAGGTATAGGAGAAATCTTTTAATTATCCTTATAACACTCTAAGTAAGTGTCCTGCTACTAAAGTTTTATAATATAGCTAATAATTAGGTGGTAGTATCTGTACTATTACTATCTATAACTAACCCCCCCCTTAGCCCCCCCTAAACTATTGTTTATATTATTCTAACGCCTCTGCGTCTCTTAGCAACAGTGGTGGCGCTTGCGCGCGTTGCAGGTGGGGGACGACTTAGTTAACGAGTACGAGCGGTGGCAGTGGCGGCGTTAGGAGGAGGGCAGTGCTTTAATAGCTTGCTGGCGCGCAGCACCCTAGGCCTAAAGAAAATAAACGTTAGAATAGATGCAAAGGGAACAAGGGAAAAACAATACTAATAATAAGAGTCTTAATGCCTTAGGTAGTGCGCTTAGTAGCGCTCTTAAGCTAGTTAATATAAAGGTTAGTTTAGGCCTAGGTCTTATTTATACGCTAGTTAATGCGCTAGAAGGCGATACTAGCGGCGGCGGCGAGCTGCATAACGTTGTTATTGCCACGACTGCCACGCGAAGGCGTAATAGCAGACTAAAGGGGAAACGCTAGAGTACTAGTAGTAGATAGAATAACAGCACTAAGCTAATACTAATTATAGGCGCGCGAGTGGGCAGTAGGGGCAAGTAGAGTAATAGTATTATTAGTTTAAGCCCTTAATATAAGATCCTTAAAATAACAGCAGAGCTAGTAGAACTACAGCACGAACTAGTAGTAAGTGCCTTTAGTAGGTTTTCCTGCAAAGGTTCTAAGGGTCCCTTTCTTTACAATATAGAGGCGATCCTCCTAGTAACTATAATAAAACTAAAGCTAGTTGCGGAGGGCTTAGTGGACGTTAGGATTGTTAGTAAGTATAGCCTCTAACCTAGTGCAGGTTTTGTAACCGCGATAACAAGACTCGCACAAACGCCCTAGACATAGTTAGAACTCGCTATAAAGAAAATATAAATTAAGGGGAACTTACTACTACCTTCCTAATAGTCACACTTGCTAAAGAGACAAAGCTAGTTAATACACTAATTATAGGGAAGTGGCTTTACAAAGCTACTGTTGTATTCCTTATTATCTAAGTTACTAGAAATAATAAAGCCGCTAAGCAGCTGTGTTTAGGGAGGCGTGTGCTGAGAAAAAGTTAGTGCAGGAAACATAGGGAGGACACTAGAAGTACGCACCTTATCTTAGTAGGCCTGGTGCAGGGTCTAACTGCCTCTTAGTAGATCCCTACCACTAGCACTAGTAGTAGTAGATAGAGACATAATAGAGGCTATATAGGCTAGATTAACAGAAAAAGAGTAGAGATAAGACTAATTAGCTAGGAAAATCTGCTGTGTAACAAAGTAAGTTAGGAAATTTATAGTAGGGTAGGATAGCTATGTTAGAACTTTTATAGTAGGGTGCCAAAATAAGCGCATAGACGCCACGCACGCGTACCGCTTAATATACGGGCCTGTTACAAATTAGGAAGGAATATAAAGATATAATAACGAAACTAAAAAATATAGTAATAAAGCCTAATATAGATTATAGAGGATAAAGATATAACCCTAGACCCCTAGAAAGACGATTTTACAATAGCTTATAGGGGAAGGTTAGGGGTATGTAAAGGGCTTAGGCTTATGCCTAAGCCTAGGTCTAACACAAGACAGACCAAGTCTAACACTACTACTAAGCGAACACACTAGACACCTATAAAAAGGCGTGGAGGGCTTACCTCTCCTTTAAGATACTAAATACTATTATCAACGCTTATTGCATTCTCCCTTAAGGCTAGTCTATAACAATTAGTATTTGTAGGGGGGCCTATAGTAGCTGCTAGCTAGGCTTAGAGAACTTCTATAAAACACGTTAGTAATAGGTTTTAAATATATTCTAAATAACTTATAGCAAGGAGCGTTCTAGTAATTATATATAACCTTTATATAGAAGTCTATATATATTAGTATAACAAGTTAAGAATAGGTTAATAATATATTTACTCTTTACCTTGTGGACCTCTGTTATAGAGGGCTAGCTAGTCTTCTTAACCCTACTAACCTTATAGTAGGCTATGTTAAGCCTATAATCTTTTTTAGTATAGGTATATAGAGTGCCCCTAGTACCTAGAATAGCCTAAGAATATTAGAACCTATTTAGAACACGTTTAGAACCTATTCTTACTCTATATAAGGTGCCCTTATTATTAATCTTAGTATAGTAGTAGCGCTCTCTACTCTCTATCTTAACTACCCTATTAGGGCTAACTATAGGCTATGCCCTAATATTATCTAGGACGTGGCTAAGGGCAAGGTACTATTAATAGTGCTTCTATAACCTATTAAGAACACGTTCTAAACACGTTTTAATCTGCTTATATAGGATAAGAGGGATACGTTAGTAATAGGTATAGTAGTAGCAGCTTATAGTATTACTAGTATAAAATATATTTAGAATAGGTTTAGAACGCGTTGCAAAATCTTATAGCATAATATTTAGTTAACCTTGCTTAGCTAGCTAGTAGAGCTTGGCACGGCCTAACCCCATGCCGAATACGAGTTCACGCAGCGCTAATTCCATGGTCATATGAACTGCGCCCTCCCCTCGACCCATTGATTCCATGTACGTAACTGCCAAAGGGGTAAGGTTGACCATGGCGCAATCATCTTGGAAGCACGACGCTTCTGGAAGCAAAAATCGGTACCTGACGATCATATTCGACTTTACCCTGATGATATCAGGCACAGCGAATAGGTAAGTAGGCACCGGTAACCTTGGGAACTTTCTAGCCAGTGACAGGTTGGCACCCTAAATAGGAGATGCCTGCCCATCGGGACATTGCTCCATGAACATGTCTATCTAGGTAGGTAGGTAGGTAGCATGAGCGGGTACGACGCCCCTATGGGTGACAGCAGGCGGCATGCCTGTCACTGTGACCTCTCTGGTCGCATCATGGGAGCTAACGGCAGTTCCTGTTTCACATGCCCTTGTTTCACCCAAAGTCGGGCCGCAGCCCGTCATCACATATTACAACCGTTGCATCTCGGTTTCCCAAAAGTGTTTGGCACTTGAACTTCGCTCTCTTACCACTCCAGACTCTCGTTTTTATGGCTTGCCGAGGTTGACCCTCAGAGGCACGGTCTTTGACATGGCGCTGGTCACCTGTTTGGTACCTCTGTGCCCTCGCAATGTTGGTAGAGCCAGACAAAGAAACATAATCGTACTCCCTGCTTGTTTGTCACTGGTTTCCCGAAGTCTATTCTGCCTGTTCTTTGCAAGGTATGCAGCCACAATTCACCCGGTTCTTTGTGCACGTCTGTTGTGCTCACCACTGGTTTAGATCAATTACACAGAATACCGTGGCCCAGTCATCAAGTGCCCAGTTGATTCCGTCACCCCCATGCGCAAGATAAATAAGATCCACCTGTCCGAATCCTGCAAACAACCTACAAAGATAGCATTTAGAGCTCCCAACAAAGCCTCGAGAACCTACGGCAATCTAATCATTAATTTCCTCCATGAAGCCCATGTCAACCTTCATGGCCGTCCTCATCACCATCCTCGCCCTCTATCTGAGCCCCTCCTCCGCGCAACTTCATCTCCAACGACGTGGTCTCCCAGGTGCATACTACACCTGCGTCCAAGAAAACTTCGCCGGCCCAGACGGATGCGGTTGGACTTCTCCCACCGAACGTTGTCGCGCACAAGGCGGCTCTGGCATCAAGTCACTGGGCCCGGACCCAGGAACCGTATGCAGTCTGTTCAAGACTGTTGATTGCACCGGCACTGCCATCAAGTCGATCACTTTTCCCGGTCTTGGGAGTGGATTGCCAGAATTCGCATCCTTTAGTTGCAAGGTCGCCGGGGCTCAGACCAACAGGGTAGCTACCAAGGGTCAAGCGTTGGATCCCGCGACATTGGCAGGGGGTGTGGGGAGTACGGTTAGGATGGAGCATGCGGAGGAGCTCAAGGCCATGGAGGAGGATGGCTTCAGTGAGGGCATGATTGGATTGAAGAAGCGGCTTTATTACTAAGGAAGTTGTCGAGTGCCATTGAGTTCCTTGTACGAATACTTGCGTTTCTGCGTGTTTACGCAGATGCCCCTCTTCTTTCTTTCTTCTTTTTTCTTTTTGAGAGCTGGGATACTTCAAGGTTGGACACCGGGATAGTTCACGCTCAATTTCATCACACAGTGTATCCTGAGATTATCTGAACAGTCTACCGATTGTTGCATCACGAGCTTCTGAAAGAGATTGTCGGAATATAGACTCCATGACTGAAGTACTAATAACCAAGACTTTATATCTTGAACGTGATCGAGTACACAAATTACGGCCCACCGGGACTGCAATAGAGTATGTGTATACATATCGCAGAAAAACAACACCACAGCCTTAGAACCATCTCCTCGCCTCAAGTTTATCCCACCATCTTCCCTTCTCCTCCTCTTCGCGTGGCCCAACAAACTCCAAGACTTGATCCGCACTTCCAATCCGCAAATCTAGATCAAAATTATTTTTTGCGCTCCTCCCATCCAACTTTGCTCCGAGACAGAAACTCGCGCGAACTTTTACACCACCAGGCCTCTCCTTGGCTACTGGACTCAAATAAGGTCCAATGTCACGTGCAACACGGTATGCCAGAGCTGAAGGCGAAAATTGCGTCTTCAGCGCCACAGCCCAGCGATTGAATTCTTGCGTGCGGGGTGCCACGTGTGGATTATTGAAGTTGGGAAACTGGGCCGGGTCGACTGGGTGATCGCGCGATGGCGATGCCGGCGGAGTAACGATAGTGAGGGCAGTGGAAGAAGGTGATCGGGTATCAAGCCAAGATTGGATGATTTCAACATCGCGGTGAGAGTCTTCGTACCATGTCACGAGCCAGAGGGATATGATGAGCTGCTTTAGGTTGTCGTAGTGGCGAAGGTCGTTAAGTAGAGGACCCGTGATCGGGGTCTGAAAAGAGAGAATGGGACAGCCAGTGTTGCCGCTGATTTTAAGCTCTTCAATTGTACTTGCATGGTGTAAAGCCATCGTTTGGATGAGTGGCCCTTGAGCGGGCCAGCCATAGACGGGCTCAAAGTTGAAGTCTAGTGGTAGCGATACACCACGTTTGTAAGATGCCAATATTCCTGCTAGATCTTCCCCTTCTAGGGCGTCAATTTCAGAGCCATGGCCCGGGTCTAACGCTTTCCATTGGAGTCCCTGATGTCCCCACGTATTTCCTGCTGGAAATGATACACCGATCATGACGACTTTCTTCAACGGACACCAGTGCAAAGCTCGGAGAATTTCTCGCTTCTCATCCCGGGGGATGCCACCCTCTATCTTGATATTCTCCACTCTTCGCAAGTGTGGGACAAACTCGGCGATGAACCTTCTCCTTCGAATGCGAGACTGTACATCCTCTGTACTTGTACTCTCATCTGTCAGTGGCTCCCCTTGTTCACCATATTGGGTATCGATGCGCAGGTCTGTGAGCATCATAGCGAGATGGGCGACTAGCTTCCGGGTTCGATTGCGTACATTGGCTGTTGGCTTTACATGGCTGTAGAATCGATCCATAGGCCAGCCAAGACATTGTATTTTGGGATGAGCTTCCAAGAACTCCAACATGAAATTTTCAAGAAGGAAGACTTGACTTGGAAGCTCGGTATGCGGCGTTGTTGCATTGCGAAGCTGAAAAGCACGCAACAGAGGAAACCTTAATGATCTCAAGGTCTCGAGCACCCATATGCAGTGATCGAAATTATCCTCCACTCTCCGACGCCAGAGTATCCAGTCCAGGTTCAGGCTGGTCAATGTGGATGCCGAACTAGTGATCAACCAATGCACTGGCTCCCTTGGCATTGTTGGCGGTACTGCCGACCCTTCGATCTGAGCACGATTTGCGTGAATGAAATCCATCACATCGGACAGACCCTCCCATATAGCGTTGTCCCATGCCTCACTTCTATTCTTGACCTCTTGCGCATCATGGGGTGACCAAAATCCCGATCGGCCTTCGTCTGACAATTGGACCGTGGTTCCAATCCATCCTCCAGAGCCATTGCGAAGCGGGTAGTGTCTTCCACCTCTACAAAGTTTGAAGTCCGTGTATCTCAACCCTCGTGCACGCACTGTATCCAGCGATTCGCTAAAAAGGCGGCGGATGCGTATCGATTCCAAGGCAGTCCCTTGTTCGTTTGCGAGAAATTGGGCGGGGTCCACAGACAAACAGCAGCTTTCGAGCCATAATTTGCGCAAAGGTACTCGACGTGGCCGAAGATGATGGAAGAAGCCTGACACGAGTGCGTTGGTCAGATACCAGTGGCCATAGACTATGTGAAGGGTATGCACATTGACCAGGTTCGGGATAGCCAACTTCAGCAGCGTGTGTAGGCGGCCATCGTGCGATAGATGGTCGGCGTCGAAGTGCATCAGTGGGAGTTCGGTGAAGATATTGGGCGTCGGGAGATGACATCGGTGGGTGAGGACCTGGACCTTGGAGGCCAGAGTAGGGTTCGTGGCTAGTATGTGAAGCCTGTGTATAATGGGCGTATCATCATGCTCGTCAGACTTGCCGCGTCCACGGTCGCCCCAGGACTGCATCCTGTGCTCGTCCATGTGCAGTTTCCATTGATCTACGAGGCAAACGCTCTGCCATAGGATAGCCGTCGCATGGTCCCCAAGCGTGTGGGAGACGAGGGCTACGTCTTTGAGCGTGGCTGTTGGAAGGTAGGCGACGATGAGCTGGACAATCTCGCTTGGTAGTTGTTGGAGCTGTTCTCATAGATGTTCACCAACGCGTCAGTCTTTGAAGTCTTGTTTTTGATCTCTCTTCAGGTTACAGGATGCACCAAGGCGTGCTATGTGATGCACTAACGGTAACATGTCCAAGCACGGGTACCTACAGAGAGCGATGATGGATGGTGGCCAACCTCACGATCAGCGGTCATGACGGGAAAACAGTGCTTGGACGAGCGGGCGCCCAGTTAGTTTTGCGGTAGAGTGGATGACTGTCCATGTATCTAGAGGATGCTCTGGGTAGATTCTGTGACAGTGATAGAGTAGTAGTACATGGATGTACATGGATGGACAGTAGTCCAGATTTGAAGTCCAGAGTAGTACTTGGAGGAGTCGAGGGCGGAGAGGCAGGCATGGCGGGGCAAGTAGCTTGGTTCCTGGTCCCCGCACCTATCCCTGCCTGCCGTCACTGTCGATTGCTTCCTTCTATCATCTATACATCTTCATCTACCTATATGCTCATATGTATCGCCTTTTTTTTTCTTGACACAAGATACACAATCCATCCTCTTTGGTGTTATACTGACTTTTCCAGCTTTCCAATGAATATCAGAGCACAGAGTGATTATCTGGGCACCAAGACCCAAGAGGAACTAAGTGACAACCATGGCGAAAGAAAAGGATTCCCCAATGATCAATCCCCCCCTTCCCCCTTCTTTCTATGGACCTGCCTTCCCCTGCTTTGGCACATCTCCATCCTGTCCTTCGGCATCTTGAATGCGCCGGCCTCTCTTCATCCTGAACATGCCAACGCTCGGCTTAACGTCCTGGAAGCCATACTGCGGATACAGCTTCTGCGCCTTGGGCTCGGCCACCAAGCTGACATAGGCAAACGGCGCATATTCATCGACATAGTCGACGAGCCTCTGCATGATGCGCTTACCTAGCCCTCGCCGCTGGTGATCGGGATGCACGGCCACGTCGCAGAGCTGGAGGAATAGGGCACCGTCCCCCAGCAACCGTCCCATGGCAACCGCTGTCTGGTCCGGGCCCGGCGTAGTCGAGTCCGTCATGTACCTGCGCTCGTAGGCCAGGATACAGCAGAAAGAGTTGGCCAGAGACTTGGGTACCGCTTCTAATGGTGGGGGTGTCATGCCCGAAGACTTGCGAAGATCATGGTACACCTGCGGCGACGGCAGGCCTTCGAGAATCACGTAAGCTTGGTCGTCGTCCATGGTGGTGAAAGCAAAGAGCTGGTGGAATTGCACATGCAAGACTGTGATGGGCGGAACTTTATACCGGTACACGCGTCGCGCCGTCGGAACGCCTTAACGAATCTATGCCGAGGATTTGCCCCAAGAGCAGACACCAGGTCCGTCACCACCATGCACCGGTACTATGCAGATATACAACAAGGCTCTCTGCGACCATGGTACACAATGCTGAAATATAGCAAGACATCAGATATCAGAAATCAGACATCAAGTATTTGCTGGTGATGTCATCTGGCAGTAATACGACCTGGTCAAAATAGTTTCAAGGCAAAAATGGGCTCTGACCTGCTTTCAACCATCGTCGCCTACCAGTATGCCAGCAGTGAGAGGATTTCTGCAGGTGCAACCAAGCTATATACACAAGCGGTACTACGTCTGAACTGAGGGGAAGATCTGGAAGGCTATCATCTGTCTTACAGTCTTACATGTGTTGTTCTGAATGCTGTCAGGACGCTTAGGAGAGAATGATGGCATTGGGTAGGTGATGCCAATGACCTGCATGCACATCCCATCGATCTCCCGACGCGCGCGAATGAACACGGCAGATGATCAGCAATGAGCCTGAACACTATATACTTACACTTACTCTACTCACAACCAGCGAAAACAGCAACAGCATACTTACCAGGATAATCTAGCAGAACCACAGCAGCCAAATGAAAAAATGAAACCAAGATCCTGCGATGTCCCACCTTCCCTTCTGATAGGACTTGCATTGCTCAGCTGCACCTTGATGCAGCCTTCACCTGCCTATCACAAGCGCCCCTACCATGATCCCTGTACCATCATCGCCACACGCAGACCATCACCATGACCATCACCACCACCATCAGGAAACATAAATATCATCCACCAGCCAATCGACTGTCCCACACCCGCCACGAAGCACGTTCGAGCGATGCCATGTGTCGGGGCAGAGGGGCAGAGGGATAGATGTATGCTTGTGTGGGACAGTTGACATGCGTACCGATACCTGTCCTACCTACCCAGGCGAACATGCTCAGAGCTGAGCCACACCCTGTTCCCCTGGGGAACGAATGGGAGCGGGGAATGGGGTTCAATACTCGATGCATGCGCTCAACTCTAGTGCGCGTGGCACAAGTCTGCATGGACTGCTTTGAAACCCCTACCCTTGGAGGGTACAGGCGTTGTGAGCAGTCAGTCGACGGTGCTGCAGCTTTCATCGGTTGTTGCCAATAAACGAGCCTATATGTGCAGAGTGAAGCCTCTCTCTCTTCTGCGATTGCAGTCCTGAGAATTGAGACTCTGGTTTTTTTATTGTTGCCAGCCAACAGATATATCCATCAATCTGGGCACGATGGCCTTCAAGTCCAAATTATACGCTTTGTTGCTCATGGTAGGTGTGGTGACTTGCACTCGGTTCCCACTTCAAGACCGACAGGGACAAAGTCAGGTCCCAGATTATGTTCTGAAGTATGGTGAGTACTTATATATCTTATCATCATTCCTGAATCCACTACCCTCCCCTCCACTATTCCCTGAGGGCAAACTGCTGTCCCTTATTTCTTTCAACACCCCTATTATTAATATTTACTCTGATATCCTAATGTTTACTCCCACCCTCTCCTGACAACTCCCCAGCCCCAATTGTGTACCTCCACTCCACCGAGCAATACTTCCCAACCGACATAACAGCCTTTCTCAACAACACCACTCCACGTGTAAACTACAACGAAGTCCCCGGCCCCTCCAAGCCCCTCACGACCTCCAATGTGAACCAAATGGGCTCAAATGTCTTTCTTACCTCCAACGACGACGTTACCAAAGACCCTACTTGGATAAAAGGCGTCAAACCAGACGGCCAAGGGAGGACGGGGAATGCAGTCACTGCTGCTGTCATTGTCGTGGACAAGGAAGAGGGCGCCGTGGATGCGTTTTACATGTACTTCTACGCCTACAACTATGGTGGCGAAGTGCTTGGATGGTCGGAATTGAATTTTGGTATGTCCTCTCGGACCCTTCTCTTCCTCATCTCCAACTCACAAACACGGCCACGGCCACGCTGACTTTACTACTACACCTATAGGCAACCACGTAGGTGACTGGGAACACACCATGGTCCGCTTCTCCAACGGTGTTCCCCAAGCGATATGGTATTCCCAACACGCCAACGGCCAAGCCTTCACCTACCCGACCGTCACCAAACACTCTGACAATCTCCGTCCCATAGCCTACTCCTCCAAAGGAAGTCATGCCAACTATGCCATACCGGGAAAGCATGATCACACAATCCCCAACCTCAACCTACCGGCCGGTGTGCTCGAGGACGACACGGATCAGGGCACGCTGTGGGATCCTTTGTTGTCCGCCTGGTTCTACCATTTCGAGGCTGACAGTAATGACTTCACGGCTTTGGGCGAAGGTACGCCGACCGAGTGGTTGATGTTCAAGGGGAGATGGGGCGATGAAAAGTATCCCAACAGTGACCCGAGGCAAAGGGAGCTGTTCGGTCAGACCAAGTTTAGCAGTGGGCCAACGGGGCCGGCGGACAAGCAGCTGAACAGGAAAGAGGTTTGTCCGGAAAATGGTCTCATCTGTATTGTGAGGAGGATACTGGTGCCAAGGAGCGAGGAAGGTGTCATGGTCACGTCCTAGTGTCTGATGCCCATGTCATCCGCAATACATCATCCATGGAAGCTTCAAAGTCTCACACCACAGATGGCCTGGAAGCGTACTCTGCTGAGTAGAATCATGCTCAAACTGCTGGGTTAGACTCTATGCCGCGTTTTCCATGTCTGCCAGTGCCACAACAACCCATTCGGTCCAAGTTCGGGTCATTAGATCATACCTTTGTTGAGAGAAAGTGGATATCACTGTACAGTTACTGGTACGAGACCAGCCTTGTACCACAGGCCATGTCCAAGTTTTGATGTCAAACATTGTTGCTTTAGTTCGTGACAGAACATGATGAAATTTTTCCTTTATTCATGCCTCCAGAGCTATGCGCTCAGACGGTGAAGACCACCCTCATTCATCATGTAGGATGGCAAGCCACCGGGAGGGGGATGACAGAACGCCCCGTGCCGAGCAATACCATTTGCCTGTAAGAATCCGCTATTCCGATCATGCACCTGTCCAACCAGCCTCCACGATTCCGCTAGAACTTTGATTCATCTGCCCTCGGTGTCGTTGTTTACGAGGCCTTGACGGTGGGGCCCTTGGCACCCGCGGGCGTGCCAGTTCGGAAGCCGTTGCTGAACTTGCGGTTGACGGTCTTGAGGTACCTCATGCGTCCGGTACCGGTGGTCTTCCTTCGCTTGGCCTTCTCGCCCCAGTTGACTGCTTCGTGTTAACCTAGGGTCCTGGCGAAAGAGGGTGCTGTGTCGCAGGACAAACGTACACTTGCGGGTCTTAGCAGCAGGGTAGCCGCATGAGGAGCACGTGTGCTTCTGGATGTGGAGAGACCGACGACCTGTGCATGTCCTGTCAGCCCATCTGTGCTTTCTCAATTTCCCCTTCCCATCGCAATCGCAATGCCCCGTCTCGCAGCATCGGCTGAAGTGTGTCTAGTTCCAGCATTCGAGGAGATGTACGTACCGCAACGCCTGCAGAGCGTGTGCGTCTTGTTGTGGCGCTTTCCGAAACTAGAGGTACCCTTCGCTGCAAGATTGTTAGTCCTAAGGTTCGGTGTTGAGGGACGGTAGAGCGCGCGGCGTACTCATCGTGGATAGTCGCTAGAGTCAGAGTTAGTTTTAGAGGTTATGGTTGTATGGGATCTTCTGGAGCAACGTACCTCGTGACGCTGTTGTTAGTATCGAGGGTGGTGAAGTCGCGGAGTTTGTCGATTATCGAGTGCGTTGCCAGCCGCACCAAGCGAGAAATTCGAATGTGGGTGTGTCTAACCCGAACCGGTGACGCTAGTGCCGGCCTCCACCAACATCAAACTCCAGCCGTCTCTCTCCCTCTCTTTGGGCCTCCAGGTGGAACATGAAGCGACCGCGAATAACAAAACTACCTTTCGGATTCACACTGCTATGACCTGCAGCTGGTCTCTATACTGCATCACTGTTGCATCTCACTCGCCTGCACGCATTGATCGGTGCCAGCTTGAGCCCTGGGATGGACAGGTCGGTTGTCTCCGACCTTCTACCACGGCGTCCCCATCAGCCTGTCTTTGATCGGTTCAAAGCTCATTTTAAACTTGTGTGGAATGTCTGCGATAGGTTGTTCATGATGACAGTTCTGGGCAATATATACACTGCGACTTTTTGGGTCGGACTCTGTTTACACCCCCCACGAACACTGCTTGGCAACAACTGCGACGGTACCCCCACGCCTGTCATCTGTCCTGTCTCTGGATGGTCTAGGTCAGCAAGCAGATGAATAGCAAGCCAAGACGTCGGTCCATGGCGATTCATGCCCTCGTACTTTCATAGCTATTCAGTATCCCGGACGGCGTGCTAGAGTATTCGCAGATTCGCAGATTCGCAGCCATGAGGCGCATGGCAGATGTGGGAGTTTCGGGAGAGGGCGACTTGTTGTCGGCCAATCACGAGCGGAAACGTGAACGCGTGCAAGTCTTCTGTGGTGACACTATAGCGTAGCCTCCCAAGGTTCCGCTTAGCATTGGATACCAAGAGCATCAAAAGGCAAAAAGAGTCTCATCTATGGCTTGTCATGCCGTCTCCAGGGTCATCATCATCCCAATGGCGCCCTATGAATTCGCTGGCCAACCTGCTCATTATGCTGTCCCACATGCTTGACCCACGGGTGGTCGCAAGGAAAAACAAAGAAAGCGGTCACTAAATCCAAATACCGTAGAGCCGACTGTACATACCTTTACCACGACCCGACTGCATGTCAGAATATCGCTGTCTTGCACCCTTCCATATCACCCGCCAAACCTGTTACGAGTGGTTCCATCTCACGGAAGACGCCATCTTCCTCATTGCTTGTTTCATTTTTGTTTCGTCAAGTGCATTTGGCTGGACTGCTACCGGACTGTTCGTCCTCATGGTGTCTTTCGGGCGAACTGGAAATGCTGCATACCGCGATGTCCCCGCAGTCTATGTGAGAGTACCCAGGAGCTCGAAAGACCCACTTGGAGTGGACCTTTGGGTCCGCCGACATGGTCGATGATACTAACAGGTTCAGACTCACATCGCAGACCCGAATGAGCGACGGCGTATGGCTCTTGCAGAAGTCGACAAGGCTCCACTCGGATGGTATCACATCAGACTCGCCGTGGTCACAGGTATCGGTTTCTTCACAGATGCATACAGTGTATGTCCCTGCCGAACCTACATCTCACTCCGCTGATCCATCATCATCTAGTTATTCGCCATCAATCTTGCAGTCATCTTGCTTGGCATAGTGTACTGGCAAGATCCCGAGCACCGAGGTGTTATGCCGCATGATGCTGATACAGCTATTAAAGTCGCGACCAGTGCAGGCGCCATATTCGGCCAATGTATATTTGGCTACCTTGGTGACGCCCTTGGACGAAAGAGAATGTACGGGGTTGAACTCATGATCATCATTTTGACTACACTGGCTCAGTCGCTTTGCGGAGAATCCAGTACGCTGTCCATTGTCGGCGTATTGATCTTTTATCGTGTCCTCATGGGCATTGGTGTTGGCGGTGATTGTAAGTTTTGAGTCCAATCGACCACCAATTTCCCAGTATTCTCTCTTGTATATGGCTTCGTCTCTAATTCTTACTTATTTTGCAGACCCATTGAGCGCAGTCATTACCGCAGAGTTCTCGAGCACCCGCTATCGTGGAGGCATCATCGCAGCCGTGTTTGCCATGCAAGGCCTTGGACAACTTGCCGCCTCTCTAGTAACACTGATCGTAGTCATCGGTTACAAAGACCAGTTGATTTCTGTGGCATCTGTCGGCGAATGTGTAGGTCAATGTGCTTCCACAGTCGACAAAATGTGGCGTATCATCATCGCGTTTGGAGGCATACCTGGCTGGTTTGCTCTCTACTACCGTCTCACCATTCCCGAAACACCTCGTTACACATTCGATGTGCTTTACGATGTCGAGAAGGCTTCGGTCGATGCACGAAAGTACCGCTATGGAAAGCAGGGCAATACCATCGACCCGGTAGCGCGGGCCAAGGGACGCAACGAAATGATCAAGTACAGAACTCCCCGACCATCGCTGAGCGAAGTCTTCCGCTTCTATTCTCAGAAGCGACAAGCCATTAGGCTCTTTGGCACATCAATGTCCTGGTTGTCAGTTACCACCTTCTTACCCAATCATCCTTCAGTCTCTTGTTCACCCTTCTGACACTCCACAAGCTTCCTAGATCTTGCCTTTTATGGCCTTGGTTTCTCCTCTGCCTCCCTCATGTCAGCAATGGGCTTTGATCGACGCGAAAATCTCTACGCCTACCTCAGCAACACCGCCATCGGACAAATTGTGCTCATCTGCGCCGGTGCACTTCCCGGCTACTGGCTCACCGTCTTCACTGTCGATGCTATCGGCCGTAAAAGGATCCAAATCGGCGGCTTCACCATCCTCACCATCATCTTCTGCGTCCTTGGATTCGCCTGGCAGGGCCTGACCAAAACTCATCTGCTCGTCCTCTACGTCCTCGCGCAGTTCTTCTTCAATTTCGGTCCAAATGCAACGACATTCATCACGCCTGCAGAAATATTCCCAACAAGGGTGCGTTCTACAGGCCATGGCTTCAGTGCAGGAATGGGTAAGCTGGGCGCAGTATTGGCGCAGATCTTCTTCACACCGATGATCAAGAGGGGCGCGACGCATGATAATCCCACGCCTTGGATCCACGGGGTGATGCAAATCTTTGCGCTTTCCATGTTTTTGGGCATGTTGACGAGTTTCTTGGTGCCGGAATCGAAGAGGGCAAGGTTGGAAGAGTTGGCCGGGGAGAAGGACGATGTGTATGAGTTGCAGGTGAATAGTTGGAGGACCAGAGCAGTTGCTAGGGTGAGCGAGGAGATCGAAACGCCTAGTGCGATTGCGGTTGCGAGAAGAGTGAGTGGAAGTGAAAGAAGTGGAGATGGGCATTCGGAGAGGAGATGGAGGGATGGGTATGAAGAGAAGAAATGGTGGAAGGTACGTCTGACGGTGGTGTGATGGTAGCCCCCTTTTCAGATTGTTTGTTCAATGGCAACCTGTAGCACTGCTACAGACCGGTTTCGTTACGTCTCTTGTTCTATACCCTCGTCAACAATCCAGAGTCTCTCTCTTTAGTATTGCATGTGCCTCCTGATCAAGTCTCACCACCAGCGCCTCGCTCAAAAACCTTTACACTCCCATCCCCCTTCACTTGATACAAAACCTCCTTCCCTCTGCCTGTCTCGTCCTCAGGCCCCTTGTCCCCAGACTCAAGCCCCAAGTTTAACCATCCCGTCCTCTGCTCCGTACATCTCAACACCCCGCTCACATCTCTTGCGACACCCGTATCCAAGACCCTCACACTCACCACCCTAGTGCTCATATGCGCCAATTTGACCAAGAAATTATGGTGTTCAACTTCCAGGAGTTGGGGCGGTGTGCTGAGGCTCAGCAGTGGAGTGTCGGCTTGTATGTGTGTGAGGACATGTGACACGGTCGACAGGGTATGCAAGGTCAAGAGTAGAGAGGTCATGGCAGAGGGCGCAATGGTCGAGTCTAGGGCGAGTAAGAGGTCAGGGTTGTCCAGGACGACAAAGGTCTTTCTCTGCGTGGGCGAGGTGGATGTGAGGTGGCTGATGGCGGCCGTGATTGTGGTATGCAGGTGTATCAGGTCGAAGGATTTGAGAGTGTGTAAACCTGTTCTTGTTGTTGTGGCTTTGCTTGGACTCGCCATGTCGACTAGCGTGTTCATTACCGGCGTTCTATCAACTGTCGGTGCGGCTGGTATCCGTGGTCCTCTCGCAGGTATCGTCCTCACCTCTGGCAAGCCTCTGTTTGGCAGTGTAGTCGATGCTCGCGCAGATGATGCGCGCAGGCTGTCATCAGCGCCATGTTGTTGTTCCTCGCCATCCTCAAGACACAATCCGGATAGCCCGTCCACAAAGGCAAACCGCCCCTCTTTCCTCAACCTTTCCAGGTCAAGACCTGCTCCCTTTCGGGCTTCGTGTTTCCAGAACTCGTACTCCCTCATCCACGACACAAGCACGACATTATGGCTCTCTTCCTCCCCATGCCCACCATCTGCCGCGTTCGAGGTACTTAGCGCATCGCAAAGATATCGTACGAGCAGCCAATTTGCGCTGGCTCCGAGAGTACTGGTGACGAGAAGAAGCGCATCTTCGCGAGGCAGGCGGACGCAGGGTTGGAGCAAAGGTGGTATGCGCGTGGAGTGTGGCATTGTGGCGCATGTCGAGGCTATTTTTGTGTCTCAGGACTTGATATGGTTGTTATCGATAAGATCAAAGAATTTCGTCATCGTCTTAGCCCTAGCCGGTGACAGTTACCCAGTAGAGCCAAAGCTCTTCAGATGGAGCACAATTTGTCCTCATTTCCAGCCCAACAGGATGCTAATTTGCTCTCAAAGTTGTTGTATTTTCTGATTAATGTACCGACGCTCCAAGCGTCCCAAACAAAGGTCCTGTGCAAATATGCACCTTTGTATCGGCCATGACTTGCTCCCAATACTATGACAATTCCCCCTCGCATGATCTATTTTCTACTTTATGGGCCCGGGCTCCCACCAAATCGACTGGTAAACTTATCCAGAATCGACGGCTCCCTATCCTCAAGTACTACTTCATGACCTTGCTGCTCTGATAAGTTGATTGTCTTTCGCTCTCTCTCAACAGATGTCGAGGTAGTAGGTGTGAAGAGTTGAGTTGGTGGAATTCTTGCATCCGAGAGTTCCTCCCTATGCAGTTTTGCTGCTGCTGTCATATTACAGTCTTCCGCTGTCGTGACTGAGAGAGTGCTGCCATGCTCAAGTGTAGGGTTCAGGTTGGATATATGCGCTTTCAAAGGCTCCGAGCCGAGATCCTTCGTCGACACCATCTCATATGGATTTTCATCTTCAAAAGCCTCGTGCATAGATACATTGGGCGATACTGGCTGATTATCCTTGGCGTATCTGCCCTTATTCTGTATGAGTTTTTCAGTCGTCTCCTCCCTTTCTTCAGATTCCGGATTTGTGAGACTAAGGTCTAGTTTCGATAGCTCGTCGTTTACACTGACTTCGCTCTCTTTAATGGCACTTCGTGATCTCAAGATATTGCTTGATATCATCTGTCCATAGGATGGGCCTTGCGGAGTTTGAATAAGCTCTGAGTTGTGGGCAGCTGATACGCTCGTCGCAATCTTCCCTAGCTCGCTTGCAAAGATCCAGGGAAACGAGATGAGGGGCATATGCTCCTGATCCATCGTACGGGCAGATACCTGTTGGCCCGCAACTGTCTTGGTCGCTTGACACTCGCACAGGGCAGCTTCCATCTCTTTAGCTGTGACGGTATACATGGCCGCGACAAATGGTCCTAGGTGAGACCAGTCGGCTACGCCCGATGAATCGGCAGATTGGCAACAAACCTCACGATACTGTGCCTTCAAAGCGCTCACTGTCCTACCAAACTCCTCTGCAAATTTGTAGTCTCGACTCTCATGGTTATGCGCAAGGACAAAGACTGACCAGGCTTCGAATTCAGTTTGAATTCCGTGTTTTGCCATGAGCCTCCTTAGGGCTTCATCGTAAGCGACTTTGATACCCTCTGCCCTTTGAAGTAGTGACCCGTCGAGGTCATAGGCTTCAAGCACTCGCTTATCGAATCTATTCTCCCATTGCGGTTGGAAATCGACTAGTTGTACCTGATCATAGAGCATACCCAAAATTTTCCTTGATCTGTAGATCTTGTTCGAAGGCAAATGTTTCTTTTCCATGAAGTGGGGGTATTTCTTAGGTCTCAGTTCGCGGTCCATCATGGCAGGGATGCCACTCTTGGGATAGTCGACAGCCTGGGAGTGAAGCTTTGCCAATTCTAGACAAACTGGGTCGTTGATGCCATCAGCACTGATATCGGCTTGTGCTAGATGAGCGTGCGCGATCTGACCCAGGGAATCATTCTTCATATACGTCACGAAAAAATCGCTGATGTCCTCTGAGGTGATCGGTTTTTCGGTCTCGATAGGCTTTTCGGGCGTGAAGTCCATGGGCGGTACGTTGATGATCTTGGGCAAAAGATGGCTATCCCATAGGACCATGTAGTCATCACCATCAAGATCACCCCCCGAGCACATACTGGCAAGATCTCGTTCTCCAGTTTGTGGCAGAACGACTACGTTCCTGAGGTGGCGGAGTGCCGGTATGTCAACTGCACGGACAACCCGGAGGTCGCCTGGATGTAATGACGGATTGCGTGCGAGCACACATAGTCCTTCGATGATTTTATAGTGCCCCGGCTTAGTGGTGTCGTCAACCTGCATGAATATCTCTGGCAGTGTCGCAAGTTTTTCATCTCTTGTTGCATCGAGCCTGGACTGCGGGTCATCCATGTGGCCTTTAAGCAGGGCACTTTCATCTACACATCCAAGAACAAAGGCTCCGTCTTCTACCGCAATCCTTGCTTTTTCCTTTAGGTTCTTGATGGTGTGAGATCTCCAGAGCATAAGTAAAGACATGACGAATGGCTCCTGCGATTTCATAAAGCCATCCAGTACCATACCGGCCATTGTCAACGTAGTCTGGTTCATGTCGATATGTTTTCGCAGTTTCTGTACGGCAATTTGTTCGTCTGACATTGCATTCTCGTAGTCATTCACCATATTTTGTTGCTTCCGGATGAAGACATGGTCCGACACACCGAGATTCGAGAGAACCATAATGATCTGCCGGTTGAAGAATGGAGTTGCGAGAGCAGACGATCGAATGATCTCGAGGCCCGAATACTCAGCCACAAATTTGTGTTGGCTGGGCCGCACATGTACTTCGCTCTTTTGTATGCTGGGATCAAGCGCGAGTACGCCCTTGTAGCCACCCAGACGGAATTGAAACAATGTGGGTGGGTCGTCGAAAGGATTAGGTAGTCCAAGTTCTTTCGCCGCCATCTGAGCAATGAAGAGAGACAACTTCCCAACTCCATCTGTGAAGGTATGTCCATTACGTTCAACGTCATCTATCTCTTGCAAAATAACAGAGTTTCTCATCTTACGGGTAGTCGAGAAGCATTGTCCGATTCGCGCACCGAATTTGGCGACGGTCTTGATGTGATCAAATTTACCTAGAGAAATCCTGATGTCGTCTGCTGACTTGGAAGATGTGGGAGCATAGAAGTAAGCACCATGTTCACGAAACTGAGAGTTTCCAAAGGCAAGGAATTCGTAGTAACGACCTGCGACCACGACACCCTGTGTCATAGCATGATGCACCCTGCTGAATACTGCTTCAGCCCTGTTACCGGGCATATTGCGCAAAACACCCTCATTTTTTTCGTCGGAGAATTTCACTCGTATAAAGCGGTCGGCATCAGCAGCGTACTTTCGAGTGATCCTGTTCGAAGTTTCCATGAGGGGCGAAGCGACATACATCATGGTCGGAGTTATCACGACGGATCTCTGGAGTACGCAATAATCCGGAACTTTCCTTTTTAGACTGCCCCTGATCTTCAAGCTGAAGACGTCCATTGGTTCATAGTAAACATGTTGCTTGTCTACAACTCTTTCCAGTATGTGTATAGCATGGTCAGGCTCCATTGCGGCAAGCGAATCCAGGAATTCTCTGCTGAGCTTGTGTTCTTTCAAGTAACCGTTTGATAGACATGCTTCGAGTTGGTATCGTACGGCGAAGCTCAAAGGGACTTTCTCCGCAGAGAGATGGTCGAAGATGGAATGGGTTGAAGCAGGTTGGAAGTGCGGATGGGTACACGATATCTCTTCCTCTAAAAAACTCCACAAGGGAGAGGGCTTCCTCGGCAGCACGTTGTACTGGTTGAGATCTTTGATTACTATTCCGTGATCCGCCAGAGCACGACTGAATTCCTGAAATTTTTCACCCAATAAGGATTTTGCTTCAAACAATATTTCGTAAGTGGTCCAGAGGCCTGAATGAGAAGTTAGTGCCTGCTTTGGTTCATATTCCCCTGTGCTTACCCAAATCGATAAGGGCTGTGTCCTTGTGTTTCATCAGAGGCGCTTTCCTTAAGCGCTCGCAAATTTCGCTAGTCATAATATCTGTTACGCGAAACCAAGTGTTCCATTCATTCCAGATTCTCTCATTCTTCGAAAAACTTGTGTTAACAGTACCGTCCTTTAGTTGTTCGCCCTCCTCACGTTGAACGAAGAACTGTGGCGGGGAATCGAATGGAATGACCAAGTTGGTCTCACCCGTGTATTTGCCATCAATCTTGTAGATTTGCGAGATTAGGGCAATGGGTAGTCTGAATCGATACCTCCGGGTGCGTCCGTCAACTTCGAATGCAAATTGCAGATCCAACTCTTTCCGTTGTAGATTCAGCATCAATGATATGCCTTGAGACGAGTTGATGGTCTGCATGGCAATCATGCCCATGTCTGCAACTCTAGGTCCAAAAGTAATTGCTTTCGCTGGTAGTATGTTGAATTCGTAATAGCGTATCGACGGATTAACAGGACTTTGAATTGAATTGAAAAGGGGCTGTACAAAGTCATATTTCAACCATGTGTTACCAACTTGTATACGCTTGTCGGGGAGAGTCTTGAAGGGAGGAGGTTGGAAAATGACCCAGGCGTTGTTGTCGTATGATCCTAGCTGCATCTCAATCCTGAATACATTACCATACCGAGACAGCGCTAGATAAACATCTCTTGTCCACTGGGTCTTGGGCAGGCCATAGATTTTGATTTTTGCTTCTTGCTGATAGACCCAATGCTTCTCTCCCCCTCTGATCACCGGCCTCGCTCTAGCATTGTGACTAGCAGAGATGGGGCGTTGCTGCAGGCTATGCGTCCTCGAGGAGGGAGACGACCGTGAGATCGGCTTGGATGGGCTTGAGAGTGGACTGGAACGAGAAATGAAGGTCTTATTGATCTGATTATCATTCAAGAGGAAGAATGACTGTTGTTTGATTGGTGTGTTCGGTGCATCAGAGGGCATAGTGGTTCCCGGCTCAGGAGTGCTAGTCGCATCTTGTGTATTTGAAGACGGCATCAGCGTGGGATAGTCCTGGTACAGATGCTCACTGGAATCACCGGAGTTGGCTTGGTATTCGCTTCTGGTCCCTCCACGACCATGAAATCCCCAACGGCCAGCTCGCTGATGGTGGCCTGGGCTGCGGTCCATGATGCAACCCACACCAGAGGATCTCAGTAGTGACAGTGACCTCTTGGTAGATTATGTGGAATATGCGACTCGGTTTGAAAGTTATGAGGAACCACAGTCTTCCTAGGTAGGTATCCGCTCGAAAAGTTCCTCTCGTGAGTGTGTTGTTGAGGACGATGAGTGGGCTGGTGGGTCAGAAATGGCCAGAGAAGGCTCGAAGATTTTGTTTGTTTGTTTATTTGTCGTCGTGCTTGCTGTCTCGTCAGGATCAGAGACAAGGTAAAGGATTACCAAGTGAGTGTGTCGATGAGGCAGCTGATTGGTAGTGACTGCAGCTTTAGTAAACACGGTCAGGCGGTGACGGCGCGGGCGGCGGACCGTGTATGATAGCGGTGTATACAACTAAGACCAGGCTTGACAATTTCGCTGTCGATGTATGAGAACAGTCGGTTATTGATGATAGAATCAAAGGTTGCGTGTTCGCGATTGGAGAGCAAACGCTCTGACACTTGACGAAGCAGGAGCGAGGATCCCACACCGCAGGTGAGACCGCGAACGTAAAGTATGACGATACAGAAAAATGACAATAGTCTTGCGATAGCAATCATTTCAGGGGAATTGGTTCCTGGGGAGATAAGAACACCTCATGCGACGATATCCGTTGTTCACTTGAAACGCCTTCAGCCGCCATACAATAAGTCCAGAAATCGAACGCTGGTATCCATAATCTTCTACACTTCCTCTACATTTTTAGTTGAATTCACAACTCAGTGGCAGTCTCGTCATCATCCGGAACTCGGCCCGTCCCTGCCAGGAAGTTACCCGGCGTGAGAGGTGTACCGGCCATAAAGTCTTCTTCCATGTCAACATCTGCTTGCTCAAAAGCCTCCAAGCTGCCTCGCCTATCTCTTAGCGAGCGTCCTCGATTTCCTTGGCCTATCGCTTTCTCTGCTGGAGTAAAGCCAACAGTTGTATGTCGGCGATTCGGAGACACCTGTCTCAAGACTGAACGCTTGCTAGGCGACAGTCCCCTTGATGTTGATTTAGAGGCGGTATTGGCCTTTGGCACGGACGGAGTATGCATGGTAGGGACCTTGAACGGCGGGTAAGGCTTGGGCCGTACTGGATTGCGATCCCTGTTCTGAAAGGAACTTGCTCCTGATGATGCGAAAGTCTGATCGGTGATGGCATCCATATCGGCATCTCTGATGTCCTGGGCACAAGGGGCGGCCTTCGGCACGGTACCCTGAGTCGGAGGAACTAGTGGGTGATGTCGAAGTTCTCGTGATCCACGTGGAGTCTGAGGATCGACACCTTTTCCCTCTGATCGAGACGGCGAGCGCATTGCCAGAGGGTTCTGAGTTCCTAGGCCCATAGAAGCCAACACATTCCTACGCAGTGTTCTAAGCTCGTATAACTCTTCCTCTTGCTCAGAGCAAAGCTCGGTAAGCTCCTGTGTGCGGACCTCCAAAGACGATATCGAGGCTTGCAGAAGTTGACCTTCTCGATACATGTCATCGTAGGCGCCTTGGAGCTGCAGAGTTTCTTGTTGGGCGGCGCGCAGTTGACTATGTAAACTGGTCTTTTCTGCCTCAGCACATGCGACAGCGGCCTCCATGTTATTACTATACTCCATCTTCAGCTTTTTCAACACTTCCTCTGATGATTCCTTCAACTCCTGATGGCTGACCTGGAGCTCACTCAGTTTAGACACGGTAAGCTCGAGCTCTTCTTCTGTGCCTCGTAATTGTGTTTCCATGTCGAAGTTTCGAGTCTGGAGATGGGTGAGTTCGCCGGCCTGTCTGGATGTGGTTATTCGCTCATTTTGCAGTTGTTGCTCGCTATCATTGAGTCGATTTTGCAGTTGCGCATACTGTCCGTTCAGAGTACGCAGAGCGCTCTCTTTCTCCTCCTGGGTAACTTTCATATGATCCATCATGCCATTCAACTCTTTCAGTCGCACAGTCCAGGCACGGTACTCTTCTTCACGCTCGACTTCTCTAGCAGCATATAATTGCTCCATGTTCCTAAGAGTCTCTTTCGCTTTTTCGTCTGCTTCAGCAATTTCATTTTTGAGGTTGTCGATTCTCAAGATCAATCTCTTGTTTGCATCACTCATTTCACGTTTCTCTTTCTCTAGGAGCTCCTTCTCATCATCCAGGCCTTGGAGATGTAGTTCGTCGTCAGATATTCGGGACTGCAGTACCGAGACTTGCTTTGAAAGCTCGGCGACCTTTTCCTCGAGCTCGGCCGTCTTATCTCGCTCCCTCCGTAGTGGCTCTTCGACAGTGGAGCAGCGGGATTCTAGGTCTTGACAAATTTGTGCTACTGACCGTATGATTAAGTCCCGTTGATAATGATTTTGACTCTCTAGCTCTGAATTGAGACGGCTACGCCAGTCCTGTAAATGCTGACCCGTGTAGGGCGTACTTGCTTCTTGAAACAGCGATATCGCGGATCGATCTAGTGGTGGGACTGAATGTGAACAAGAATCTGCATAGGAAGGTAGCTTCCGTTGCTTTTCAATGAGTGCCATGACTAAAGTAGGTGATAAGCTCGGCTCTCCTACATGTGCAGTCGCAGCTGTCATCAGTAGAGTAGCGATAGTCGCAGACAGTAGTTTCTGGTGCTGTGACGCTGCGTATGTTTTACATGGCTTCTTTGGGTAGTCTAATCGTGTCTCGAGAAAATTGAGAAATTTACATAGCATATCTTGTGTCTCCTTGATCGTGAGCGCACGCAATGCATTGCGACGTAGTTCTTCCGATGTGCACATGGCAGTGGTGAGCGTATCCATCACGGTAATCAGAAAGCCACTCCCGTGAATTGAGGGGTTCAACATGCAGGTCTCGAGTACACGTGTATAGATTTTCTGTATAGTGATTGGTTGAAGGCGGTCCTGTGATGGTTCAGTATGTCAAGTTGTAAGCCATTCCTCGCACTTACAGCAAAAGCTGGGAGACACTCTGAAACTGACTCTTGCAGGTCGCATTTGTGATCCATGGAGGAGATGATACGTGCTAGAGAAGGCTCACACTGCGTCACAGCATCAGATTGCACACCTGTTGTTCCGATGATCAACGCGTGAAACCCTGCTGCTTCGAAAAAGATGGCTGAGTTCGCATCTAGGCGCTCGATTTTCTCAATGAGCTTGAGAAAAGTTCCTTTGGCGCGAGCATCGGATTTTGGCCAGTTCTCGCGTACATTTTGGTCGATGACTCGTAATACTCGCGAGGCAATGCGGATGCCATGGATGGCATCTTCGTCAGACACACCCACACCACCTTTGATGGCCCAGACGACACTGAGACTTGCAAGGGAAATGGTCCTGTACAAGCTCATTGATCCGAAGAACAACTTCTGCCCCGAAGCTGTCGTCCAATTCTTTTTTGTGCCTTGTGTAGATACAATATGATTGGGCGGGCACGTTTGACGAAGGTGGGATGCTTCAGGGTACTCTATGAGCAAAACGATGCCGAAGCACCAGAGCAACAGCATTGCATCTTTCCCGACGTCAGTTGACTTGAGAATGTGACGGAGCTGTTGGTCAAATTGCTGCTGTGCATCGCTTGGAAGCAGACTAAAAAGCTGATGGCATGCTCCATCGAGCATGTGATATACTGGCTTCAGAGTGTCAACACATGGATTCTGGTTCGACCTCTGAAAGACGCGGAGAAAGAATTCCTGTGCAGAAGAGGGCAGGGGGATCGGAAGTGGGTGCGAAAGGATGAGCACGCATAGGTCAGCATACTACTACCCGTCAGTTTCATACCTTCGATTTGGACATGACACTCACGTCATCAAAGTCCTGCTGGGAAGAGTTCGCTTTGGTGAGTAGAGCATTGAGCAAGCCAGGCTTGAGAAGCAACAATTCGTGCCGGAACTCTGGGGCATGGCCTATGGCATGTTCTGTCAGTCGGTCCCCAGGTAGGCTCCAGAAGAGCAGAATGCATACATAGCTGCTGTAAGATGGGCAAAGTGTGTGAGGCGAGAGGCAGTGCATCGTACACGACGGATACCAGTTTCTGGATGGCGCATTTTGAATGGTCGGCAACGCATGTACGGATCGATGGAATATCGTTACGAGACAAGACGTGGGCCAACCCCTAGGAAGAGTTCTCGCATCAGCACTGATGGCTGGAGTTGATGCATATGCACATGTACATGGATGGAGTCATGTGCCTTGGAATGGTAGCCCCGAAGTAACGCGACTGGGTGCTGCAGGGAGAAGAGGGAGGAATTTGCAACGACGGGAGGCTTACGGAAAGAGAAGCCGGATATGAACAGGCAATAATGCTCGTCAGCTCTGCGGCTAGTGCTGCGGCGTTGTCCGCCATGTCTGCTTGATGGAGGCAAAAGTCGGGACATGCTTGTGTGCGTGAGTGTCGCCCTATCTAGGCACCGGTACCGGTATCCGTGCTGCCCTGACAACCGAGGAACAGCGTTGACGACGACGGACACGAGAAGGTCAACATGCCTGTCCACGCTTCACCCGCACCGTGGCCCACAATTGTTCATGGATCAATTGAAGGGCGAGTAGTAGATGCAGTAAATGATGTTGGCAGTGTAAGGTAATGGTAGGTACGATGTGATGTTTGCTGTAGGCTTGGGTAATGTCATCTTTGGCAGGACGGTCCTGTTGGTATTGCCAGCCTGGTATGCAAATGAGGGTACCTTCTTTTCCAAGGCGTGAAGAGCCGAGTACCGCACGGTACTATGATCATGGTCAACAGATGGATTTCATAGCTGCTGGCTGGTTCGTAGCATGTGGGTGCCATGTTTTGGAACCAACTTGTTGGTGGCCACCATACCGAACACTACCTACCTACCGGTCCCGGTACGATAGAGAAGTCATGTCGCCTCCCCACCTGTTTGCCCTTTTCCCCTACTATCATCACGCATCGCATCCAGCATGGATCCTGCATCTCACAGAGAGCGGTCCAAGTGGGGCTGTGCCAGCCTTCTCGGACTGTCCGGGTACGCACGCGCGCTACCTAGCTACCGTAGCATGTAGATATGGTATTATGTTATCTACCCTGATCATGCAGTCTTCGTCAGCTTCACACAAGAACGAAGTATACTTTAGAGTACTCTAATGTGCCTTTCGTTCACTGCCCCAATTCGCCGAGCTGGTGCCGGCTGAGTGGGGAAATACCGTAACCCCATCAGCTACCAAACGCTGAGGTACTGAACGCCTGACTTACTGACTTGCCCTATGTAGTCCTCCTTCTCATTCGATCATTACGGTACGAGGGTGATCGGGCTGGAAAAGAAGTCCCCTGTCCACTTGTGTCTCCTCTGGGTTTTGTGAGCGTAATCGTGTCACGACAAGCTGTTGGATGATTCGACATGTGCAATCTCGCGTACTGCTACCGCTACCTACACTCAGCTTCTTCTTTCTTGACTTTCTTTTTACTGCAGTCTCCACTTGAGCCTCACAGCAATGGGCGTCGCAACCCACATACCGCCGCGCATTTCACTGGCCCGTCCTGAGGCCGCCCCTGCACTCAAGGGTGACGTCCAACGAGCATCGCGCAACGCGCATCGCCCACAAAACATGGCCCGTTTCCACCACTGGGGACTTTGCTGCGCATCTACGGGTCTGACCAACCGCTTCGTCACGCGACACAAAAATGCGAGTGGAGATGACATCCACTGTCATCCACTGTCATCCGTTGCCACGATCCATCATCATCCCTAGCACAACCTGGTTTGCCCGTGGTCCTGGTCTCTCTCTCCCCCTCCCCCCCGCAATCACTTGCTTGTGCTCCTACATAGTATGTAACCGCCGGTAGCCCTTGCAGCTGATCTCATGCATGCCATCCGTTTGCTGCGTGAACCGAGATGCCATGGCCGAGTGCTGCTACTCTTCCTGATGATGATGATGATGACGATCAGACTCCAGTCACGGTAGCCTATCACCTTTTCACCGGTCGATCCCAAGTCCACGTACCGTTCAATATTTTATTGCCGACTGTACCTGTGCGCTGGTCTCCAAAAAAAAGTCTGTGGAGTACTCTAGCTACAGTACGGGACCACGCGATGCCTAGAAGGTCAAGTTGCGCCAACTGCGTTTAGACTCAAATAGTCATGGCAGTTATCCCCGCTTCTCACCTTATGCCGTTAACTATGAACCTTGATCCACATGATGCATAGCCCAGCCCGGCAGCCATCGAGTATTCGCCTCCCTCTTTCCATTACTTTAGCTTCACTATCATTGCACCATGGTTCATGGCTAGTACGGGTGACTTCCAACGCTTGACTGAAATCATTCAATTCGACATCCATCTTACAGCAACTTGACTGTTCTTTTGCATCCTCCATTTCAACATGTTTCGTCAACCGACACTTCGATTCAGGCAAATCATTTCTCCCTGGCTGAAGCGGGGTGGTAGTCGAGCGCGATCAGGAACAGAGCAAAGGGCCAGATCCGGGAGTCTACGAACACCCTTCTGGAATTCTGGAAGGGTCATGCTTTTCTCGGCGGTTACGGGTACTACCACCTATGCCTACGGCGTCAACGACGACCATAATCGGCATCAGCTGCCGTGGTCAAAAACACAAGGGCCTCAATATGCGAATAAAAGGGATATGGAAACGGCGCGTTTAGGGAACCTGAACATGCTGGTAGAACCATGCTAACACTGTCATTAGGCAATTGGGGAGCTCCGTGAGCTCCTTGGAGAAGAAGCTGTGAGTACCGACGATGAAGACTTGCATAGGCATGGATATTCGGAATGGTCATCTGTCAACATCGATCAGTTACCCGTCGCCGTGGTGTATCCGAAATCGACAGAAGAGGTATCCAAGCTCGCAAAGGTGTGCAGCAAGTACAAGATCCCAATGAGTATGTATACGACCATCAAACTCGACTCTTAGCTGAATTGTGTAGTCCCTTATGCTGGGGGTTCCAGTCTCGAAGCCAACTTCTCTGCCCCGTTTGGCGGTATGAGCATCGACTTCTCGTTCATGGATCAGATCATTGCCCTGCACGCAGACGAGTGAGTGTCTTCATACACAACAAAGAGATATACTGACATGCGTGCTACAGTATGGACGTCGTCGTTCAGCCTTCTGTGCCGTGGATGAGCTTGAATGATCAGATCAAAGACTCAGGCCTCTTCTTCCCCGTAGACCCTGGCCCGTCTGTAAGCGCTTCCACCAATGGTCTCGCCATCAACCTGCGGTAACCCAAAAGAGGCAATCCCGGCCTTTTGCTAACCTAAACACCAGGCACGGATTGGAGGCATGGTGGGCACGTCGTGCAGGTACTGACTGCTATTCATTCAAGTACACTAGGGGAGCAACTGACAACCAGCAGCGGAACGAATGCCGTACGATATGGTACGATGAAGGACTGGGTGATCAACCTCACAGTTGTGCTTGCAGATGGAACTGTCATCAAAACGCGACGACGACCACGGTAAGTAAGCCCCCATCGCAATTAAAAGTCTCTGTAAACCTAATCATGTCACAGAAAATCATCTGCTGGCTACAACCTCACGGGTCTGTTCGTCGGTTCAGAGGGAACGCTTGGAATCGTGACCGAAATCACGCTGAAATTGGCCGTCATACCGGAAGAGACCAGTGTCGCTGTTGTCACATTTCCATCGATACGAGATGCTGCAGCTGCAGCATCCAAGGTGTTGCGTACTGGAGTTCCCGTGGCAGCAATGGAAATCATGGACGAAGTACAAATGGGCGTGATAAATAAAGCTGGGTCGACGAGTAAAAAGTGGAAGGAATTGCCAACAATGTTCTTCAAGTAAGTCGTACAGGGATCGTTTAACCCCCTCCGATCGCGTGCTAAAGAGCCTCAAACAGGTTCTCGGGTACCAAAGCAGGGGTAAGCTCAGCCCTACATGTCGAACAATTACCCGGAAAGGAACTGACTGCATGATAGGTGCGGGAAAATATCCAACTGGTCAAGTCAATATCAAGAGACTATAAGAGTGGGGACTTCGAGTTTGCCGTCAGTCCCGAGGAGCAAAAGACACTATGGTCGGCACGAAAGGAATCACTTTGGAGTATGATGGCACTTCGTCGTGAGGGTGATGAGGTATGGTCTACGGATGTAGCCGTACCCATTTCGAGGCTTCCGGACATTATAGGGAAGCAAACGAGCAAGCTTATTCCAACAAACATGGCCGTACTGACTGTGGTATAGAGATTTCCAAGAAGGAAATGGATGATCTTGGTCTTTTCGCGAGTATCCTCGGACACATTGGAGATGGCAATTTCCATGAGAGCATCATGTATAACAGCAAAGACCCCAAAGAACGCGCGGCCGTCGAGAAGTGTGTACATGATATGGTCGATCGCGCTCTGGAAATGGAGGGCACCTGCACTGGTATGATGAGAAAGACGTAACACTGACGAATACTGACGTTTAAAAATAGGTGGTACGCTTTGTATTTTACGAACGAAGTAGAGAGTTACTGACAAACAATGTTATAGAACATGGTATTGGACTTGGAAAGAAAGAGTCGCTCCAGAAAGAGCTCGGTCTGGAAACGATTAACGTCATGCGAAGTATCAAGCGTGCTCTGGACCCGTATTGGCTGATGAATCCTGGGAAGATAATGGATGCTTTGCCTTGATCGAGAAGACCAGGATGTGGAAAGCCACAGAGCCCAAGTGCCACTCCGTTGAGAACTCGGCACAGTATTCTCGAGGAGTGACAAGTTTACTTGAGTCCAAGGGGTGACAGATGATTGTCATGTGTTACAATCACGATTTGACGCGAACGGTGAGGAATGCCTGGGCGGGGCTACGGTACCAAGGTGGGAATGCAACGTCTTTATTCAGTACCCATCAACAGGCCACAAGTTGACAAGGACCCTGATGATGATAATTGTGCGCTGTAATTTGAGTAATGCTCGAATGCTTTTGTAGTATATAATGTTTCTATATGGTAGCTATTGAATGGAGCGACAATACCGCGTATCGGCAAGTTAGCGGCGCAGTGACAAACAAGTACAAAGCTATTTAGGGCTGCGCTGAAGCAACGCAAATACAGCAAGTTGATTTTTTCTTTGCTAAGCTCGATGCAATAAATTCTGCCGAACACCTGTCACTCAGGTCGTTTTCAGCTCTTTTGGTGAGGTTGGCCACCTCCACCTCCGCGATCGGTGTTTGCATTTTCCACCCCCCCCCACCCCTCGCGTCGCGTCATAACATCAAAGTACTCTAGATCTGCATATTTGCTTGAGACTGTATCTGCACCCACAACCATGGACGTCGAACACTTTACAGCCCCAAAACGGGAATTCCCCAAGAAGAAGTGCGGTGCGTGCACTTGGTTCTCTAGACATCGGGTTGGAGTACTGACACAGTCACAGGCGTCTTGGGCGCAACCGGATCCGTGGGCCAACGCTTTATCCTCCTGCTCGCCCTACACCCACATTTTGAACTGCACGCTGTCGGCGCCTCTGAGCGCTCAGCCGGTAAGAAGTACAAGGATGCAGTGAGATGGAAGCAGGCGCTTCCTTTCACGGAGCGTATCGGCAATTTGGTCGTCAAGAAATGTACACCTGAGGAGTTCAAGGACTGCGACCTGGTCTTCTCGGGCTTGGACAGCGACGTAGCTGGCGATGTTGGTTCGTAGCCCCCGCAGTTCTAGGATTGTCTTGCTGACTGAGGGCTATAGAAATGGCTTTCCTCAAGTCAGAACTCGCCGTCTTCTCCAATGCGAAGAACTACCGTCGTGATCCGCTCGTTCCCCTCGTTGTCCCTACGGTCAACCTCCCACATCTCGACGTGATCAAGCACCAGCGACAACACCATAAGCTAGCAAAGGGATTCCTCGTCTGCAACTCGAATTGCGCAGTCATTGGCATAGTCATTCCCTTCGCTGCGCTACAAGACAAGTTTGGCCCTATTCACCAAGTCTCTGTGGTTACGATGCAAGCAGTCTCGGGTGCTGGATATCCCGGCGTGAGCAGCATGGACATCATCGACAACGTCGTACCGTTTATCTCGGGTGAAGAGGACAAGCTTGAAACTGAGGCCTCAAAGATCCTTGGCAGTGTGAACGACGATATCACAGGCTTCGTTGATCAGCCCATGAAGGTCTCTGCGGCCTGTAATCGCGTCCCGGTCCTCGACGGCCATACTGCATGCGTGTCCTTACGCTTCCAACGTCGCCCGCCACCGAGTGCAGAGGAGGTCAAGCAGGCGATGCGCGACTACGTCTCTGAGGCGCAAAAGCTCGGCTGCCCATCTGCGCCTTCCAAGGCGATTGTGGTCATGGACGAGCCAGACCGACCTCAGCCAAGGCTGGACAGAGAAACCGACAGAGGGTATGCCGTCAGTGTAGGACGGATACGAGAAGACGAGGCCGGCATCTTTGATATCAAATTTGTCGCTCTTAGTCACAATAGTGAGTTGGCCAAGCTCAAGCTAGCTAGAACTCTGGAACTAATCCATTCCAGCCGTAATCGGTGCTGCGGGATCGTCGATATTGAACGCAGAAGCAGCAGTTTTGAAAGGGTTTGCATGATTTATAGGATCTGGATGTCCCAACCACTGCGACCAGCCCCCTTCCAGGACGCCCTTCATAGTATGGTCAACCACAAATACCATTGTTTTAGAATTGTCCCTGACCATGTAAATTCAAAACTGGGTCTAGGACAAGGACGATTGAATTACACTTGCTCGTGTCGCTCCCATGTCTGCAAGGGAAGCCTAAAACTTGTTTGATTTTACGGTCAACCATTTTGGCTAACAGTGCCTCAAGTTTCATTGACGCGCGCAGAACAGAGATGGGATTACAAAAGCGCGGCCATGTGTGAATCCAGAGAATGTGACCTCCACCTCATCATGAAGTCGGGGGGAAACTAATTGTGCATTCTTTTGATCGATCGAGTTGTGGTTGTGACGAGGAAGATGGCCACTGCTATACTCTACAGGTGGGGTGGGCCCGAAACGGCTTAGCTGATCCACGGCTCGCTTAGCAAAGTGCTCTGAAGGTCGAAATTGAATTTCGAACCTCGACTTCTAACCTGACAGGACCTCCGACAACTTCACCAACTAACCTCACGAGACAGTCAAAATGGGTCGTGGACCAAAGAAGCACCAGAAGCGCCTCAGCGCGCCCTCGCACTGGCTCTTGGACAAACTGTCCGGTACGCTCGACCACCGCCGCCGCCGCGCTGCTACTATGGCTGGCCCAACTGCGAGACGAAGATACTGACGGTTCTCAGGTGCCTATGCTCCCAAGGCATCCCCCGGTCCTCACAAGCTTCGCGACTCGCTGCCTCTGATCATTTTCCTCCGCAACCGTTTGAAGTACGCTCTCAACGCGCGCGAGGTCAATGCTATCCTCATGCAGCGCCTCGTCAAGGTTGACGGCAAGGTCCGCACCGACTCCACCTTCCCTTCGGGCTTGATGGATGTCATCTCGATCGAGAAGACGGGCGAGAACTTCCGCCTGATCTACGACACCAAGGGTCGCTTCACCGTCCACCGCATCACGGACGAGGAAGCACAATACAAGCTCGGAAAGGTCAAGCGTGTCCAGCTTGGCAAGGGCGGAATTCCCTACTTGGTTACGCACGATGCGCGAACGTAAGTTCCTGCCTCTATCAGCCGTTGACCATAGTGTGGGCTAGGTGTTTGAGGGAAACCTCTCTCACCAGGCATACGACCAGGGTCTGGCTATGTCAGAATTGCTGCTAAAAAATGTGTAGTATCCGTTACCCCGACCCTGCTATCAAGGTCAACGACACTGTCAAGATCGATCTTTCCACTGGCAAGATCTCAGACTTCATCAAGTTTGATACTGGTGTCCTTGTCATGGTCACCGGTGGTCGCAACATGGGTCGTGTCGGTGTCATCACCCACCGTGAGCGTCACGACGGAGGCTTCAACATTGTCCACTTGAAGGATGCTGTTGACAACGAGTTCACCACCCGTGAGACCAACGTTATGTAAGTTTGAAGACGAAGGCTACTTGAAGTGCTTTGCCTAACCAATACGTAGTGTCATTGGCAAGGAGAAGCCATGGATCTCCCTGCCCAAGGGCAAGGGTGTCAAGCTCTCCATCGCCGAGGAGCGTGACCGCCGCAGGGCGTACGCCATTGCCGGCCACTAAATGCGGTCGCGCACGGTGCAATAGGTTAAGCATATGAGGTTTCAGGGATATCATGAGCATCGGTGCAGGCTTGGGTTCTACAAAAAGTCGGGCGTTGATGAGCACTCGTGGGAAGGCCGAGCACACATGTGCTTTTCACATGGATACCAAATGAAGACATTAGAATCAAAACAAAAACAGTTGAAAATTGCAGTCTGTGAAGGATGCCAGGCTGAGACGTGAAGATGTGAAGACCGGAGGGTTGGTAGGTTGGGTAGTGTGTGTACTGTGACAGCTTGCGACGCGACATGGGTACAGTCAAACGCAGGAGTGGAGGGCAATGCAATTGGGCGGCAGAAGGAAAAGCAATGGGCAAAGTAGGCATGGGAACAGGTATGAGCAGTATGATCTACAATCGATGAGAGCTTGGTGGCGTTTGGAAAGCTGGCAGAGAAGGGGTTCTGGCCAGTGGGTTTAGTTGGAGTGGAGTGGAGTGGAGTGGACCAGGGGCCTGAGCAGTGTTCTATCATGGGGGGCGCGATGAGAGTGAGAGAGCCGAGGCTTTGCAGGCAGCAGAAGTTGGGAGGATTAGCGATGAGCTGGCCTGTCGAGGTAGAGTAGGAGTAGCTGGGGCGCTTTGTCCCCTGGAGTTGGTCTGGTCCAGGCCAGGCCAGGCACTGAGGCTCTCCTTGTTTGAGCATTGATGTTGGATGGCGGCAGCAACAGGCTTTGACGGGCGCGGCGGGCGGCGCGAGTTTAGCCAAGGTTGCCTATGCCGGGGTGGGGGGTGAAGTGCAAAATGCAATCGAGAGTGCGCGGTGCCATTACGCGAGATGAGATGATGAGGGATGTTGTAGTGTCTGTCTGTCCATCCATCTGGTTAACAAGGGCTTCTTTGTTGCCGACTTTGTTTCAATTGTCTGTCATTGGGAAATCATCTGGCACATGCCGTGTATCTTCACGCAAAACAAGACTGACTACTACTATACTCTTGCTAGTCGTCTCTTGTTGTTGTATGCAATTGGTATACTATCGAAACTCTATGGTACTATTACTACTATTACTATTACTACTACTGCTACTACTACTACTGCTACTATTACTACTACTGCTACTACTACTACTACTACTACTACTACTACTACTACTACTACTACTACTACTACCGTCTCCCTCTGATATACCTTACCCCATACCTTACTAGACAGCCAAACAAGCAGGCTTTGGAATGGGAATGCAAACCATTAACTTAGTTCCCCACGCAACCAACCAAGCCCGAGAAGCCGCCATCCTCATCATCCAGCAGGCCGTCGCCATTGGCTGGCCACCCTCTCTTTTCGCCCGTTTGTTCCGTTCCCAGGGCTTCCAAACGGTCAACCATCCATCTTCGTCGTTTTGTGTTGAACAACGCGTGCTCTCACCAAGCTTGGGAGACGACGTAGCTGGCCTAACAGTGTAGGTACTGTGCTGCCCACACCCTTCCCCCGCAAGCTTGCCTGCCCGCCTTGTCTGCGAAGTTGGCCCTGCTTCCCCCCCCCTCTCCACGGTCAC